CGGGCTGCACCGGGGGGCAGGTCTCTGGACACCCCCCCCCGGTGGGGCTGTGATGCACTGGAGGGGGGGAGGTCTTGCCCTCCCCCCCGTGGGGCTGTGATGCACTGGGGGGGGAGTCTTGCCCCCCCATGCGGCTGTGATGCACTGGGGGTGCCCCCATGGGGCTGCCATGCACCAGGCAATGCACCAGTCCATCCTGGCTCCGCTGGACACGGACACTAGGGGGGTGAGGAGGCTGCTGTGTCCCCCCCCCCCCCCCCGGGCTGACCGTGGGTGGAGTGGGATTCCCGGAGCGGTTGTGGTCGCTGCCACGCGGCGGCTGGAGCTCGGGGCCTGTGTCTGGAGCAGAGCCCAGTTGGCTCGTGTTACTGGTGTGGGTGGGAGCAGCTGGCCGGCGTTCAAGGTGACGGGGCGGGGGGTGGCGATGCTCTGTGGCCTCGTGCGGGGTGGCTCCGACGCCCCAGGGCTGCTCACCTGCCTGGCTGCGCGCGGTGAGTCACGCGTGCAAGGTGCGTGCCCCGGGGCGTGCGAGCAGGCACCTGTCTCCTGCAGGAGCGTCAGGGAGCTCGGAGCGCGCCTGGAGCCGCACGGCACACCCGGCACTCTCCGCCCGCCCACCCGCTCAGGGCCCCGTGGCACGGCTTGGCCCAGGCGTGTGCGAGGGAGTCGTGTGCCAGGCAGGCGCAGCGGGTCCAGCTCCGCTCCCCATCCCGGTTGAGGGGAGCCGGGCGCAGGTCTGGGCCGGGGGCTCCTGCCTGAGGCTGCAGGGGTGTGGGGCTGCAGGCGCGTGGACGGTGGGCAGGTGGCTTGTGGTCGCCTTGTAAATGGACTTAATGGCGGTGGGAGGCTGCTGGGTCGCGGCCGGCTGCTTGGAGGAGCAGGATTACGGCGTGTCCGGAGTTGTGCCAGGCCAGAGTGCCGCCGGCCCCGCGGCTCCTGCCGGCCTGCATGTTTGGCTCCTGCCGCCCGTGGACTCCCCATTGCTGGGTTTTGGGGGAGCTCCGGGTGACCCGGGGTGTCTGCCAGGGTCTGCTGGGTGCATGGAGCAGGAGCCGGGTAGTGGGCGAGCGATAGCCCTGGTCTCGGTCCCCCGGAGCCGGGGCTGCCCGGCTCTGCCTGTGCACAATAGCCCCGCTCTGGAGGTGGGACGTGGGGCTGGCTGCCCCGCATGAGTTGCCCGCGACTGGGGCTGAGTCACTGGGGCTGACTGTGTGGCCGCAGGCTGACTCGCTTCCTGGCAGACCTGTGCCAGTCCTGCAGCCGGAGCGGGCCTGGCCTCATGCCCTGCCACTGGTGTTGGGGGCAGGTGGCCCAGTAGAGCTGCCAGGGGTGCCCCCCTGGCCTGGCAACATCTCGCCCTAGCCGGACCTTTGCCGGGTCCCTGCGTGCAGGGCTCTGGTGCGGTGCATGCGGAGAGCGAAGGTCCCCACCCCGCCGACGCGCGCTGCTCGGCCCGGTAGTAAATGAGGAAGCTGGGGTGGAGGGGCGGGGGCGGCGCTGCCTTTCCTGCCTGCAAGGCAGAAGCTCCTCTCCCTGGTCACTACAGAGCAGCGTGGCCTGGCCTTTTGTGCCCAGCCCCTGCACAGGCAGGCTGGAGGGCATGGGGGATGCCCATCTCTGTGGCAGCAGGGTGCCGCAAGCTGCTCTGCTCTGCACGATGCTGTACAGAGGGCCCTGCCGCTTGATGGATTTGCAGGGGTGGGCAAGCAACACCCGCCCGGGGCAGGGCTGGGGGCTGTGGACGCGGGAGCTGCCCCTGCCCCTGCCCCTGCCCCTGCCCCGCTCGGATTGCCAGAGCCTTACGTAAGCCGGCGCTGGGCTGGGGATTAGAGCCGGTGACGTGAGCCCGTCTCCTTAC